GTATCAGAAACCTTTGTAGTTGTAAGCACTTTATTTAAACTTTTATTTCTGAGGTCCTCAGGTGCAATCTGAGTATTTCCTGACTCCACTCTGGTGAAAGAACTTTGACAATGGAAAGTTTTTGAAAATTCAAACCCACATGTCAAGAAGATTAGAAAGATATTTTATTCATAAAGTGAGGAAAGGAAATATTAATCCTTGCCTTCCTTCAGGGCTTCATCTCCCAACATTTAGCAGTCTACTTTAATTTTCATATTGACTGACAACAAATCCATTAGTTCTCATATTTAAATGCTCTGTTTTGGGAATATTCTGGCAGTCCAGTGGTTAAGACTCTACTTTTACTGCCATGGACCAGAGTTTGATATCTGGTCACAGTATTAAGATCCCACAAGCCACGCAGTGCATCGAAATATATATATGTATTATATATAAAATATATATATAATATATATATGTAAATGCTAAGTTTTGTTCAAAAAATTAAAAGTCAAACAAGAGTGTTAACATTTTTAAACTCCAACATTTCCCCCATTTCTTCAAACTATGCCTCATCTGGTACCGTGTCTCCTGTCCCTACAGACTCTGAACTTCTTATCCCGTTCTGGACTGGTTTCTCTCTAGGTCTGCTGTGTGCCCAGCTGTGATCCTTGGATTCCCTTCTCTCTGGGTTGATGTTCCCAATTCCTGGATCCACATCTTTCATAGTGATGTCTTATCTCACTCCATAAAAGCACACACGTTTCTCCCTCTCTACATCTCACTCCCAAATAACTTTCTCAGAAACAGCTGTGGATGGTAACCTTTCTATTCCCCATTTAGCTCCATTTCTTCTGTCCTTTGTTTGTTTGATTTTCTGTAAGCTTTCTTTGACTTTCTTTTCCATTCTTTTTTATAGTTATTTCACAAGCACTTTACTAATTTTCAAGATCTATTTTTTGTTTGTTTCGTTATTTATTTCCCTTTCCCATGCATCTTGTTCTCATTTTATGAATAAAATATCTTTCTAATATTCTTGAGACATGGGTTTGAGTTTTCAAATTTTTTCAATTTTCAAAATTCTCTTTTTTGTGACTTCCCTGGTGGTCCAGTGGCTAAGAGTCCATGCTCCCAATGCAGGCGGCCTGGGTTCCATCCCTTGTCAGGGAACTAGATTCCACAAGCTCAGCAAAGAGTTCAGATGCCACAGCTAAAATATCCTGTGTGCCACAACTAAGATCCAGCTTGGCTGAATAAATAAATGATTTTTTTTAAATTATATGTTTCTTCTGATGTCATTTTTACCTGTTTATCATAGTCCTTTTTTTCCAGGTTGTCATATTTCTCATATGTCTGATCCTGGATTGCCCATTCATATTAAGATGGAGGAGGGTTGTTTGGCATATTTTTGTAGAGTGATTGGATGAGGACCTGTGATTTCCTTAAAACAGAAATTTTTTTCTGGAGTCTTTCCACTCTGATTTCCCCCCTTTGTTGCAGACTTAAGGCTGCTGTGAATGTGGGATGCACCATGGGATTGGTGAGCTTGTCCCCTGCTCTCCCCTTTGGCTCTCTGTCTTCTTGGTCCCTCTCTGGGACTCTGCTCAGCGGACCATTTTTCTTGCCTCTACTCACTCTTGCTATTTCTCTCCTTCTGCTTTTCTCTATTCAGCTATCACTTCTCCATTCACTCATTCCTCAAATGTGTGTTGAAGACTCTAGGCTCCTATTGCCACCATTCATGGTTTTGTTTTTGTTTTGTTTTTTGTTTTGTTTTTAGCCACAGAGTGAGGAGAGGCAGAGTATGGGTTCTTGAGCCCAAGAGTGGGTTGGAACCCAGTCTACGCTGAACCAGGTTTCTGACCTTGGGCAAATCACAAAGCATCTATGCTTCAGCTTCCTTAGCTATAAACAGGGATACAAGGGTACAAACTTCCAGCTTATCAGAAAATATGCTTTCTAATTTGTGAAATCTTAGAGCAAATACCAGCGCAGATCAAAATCAGAAACACAAACCACTCTCATCAATAGCTGTTACTCTAACCTTAAAGACCTTTACCATCATTTCAGCCAAGTTTCAGAAAGGGTAGTTAATAAGTGCCCTTTTGAATTCTTAAAATAGTACATAAACACAAGCAACATTTGCTTTCATTTGTCATCTCCCAACACAAGAATCAAAAGAAATTCTCTCTATATAAAGATTTGCTACTTAAAACAGACAACTGAGAACTGGCAAGACTGAAAGGCTAGACACATTACAATTCATGAGTGTGAATGTAAATTGGCGCAGCTTCNGCTAGACACATTACAATTCATGAGTGTGAATGTAAATTGGCGCAGCTTCTTTCCAAAGCAGTGTGGAAACTGCTTAGATGTTGATAAACCCAGGCACAGTTATTCTACTTCTGAAATAGCTTAAGGAAAAAGTCAAATACAAGCAAAGTTTTCTACAAGAAGAGTGTTCTTTGCCCTATTATTTACTTAAATAATCTCTGAGACCCTGCCGCTGCCACCATAAGCTCAGAAGGTCTGGGGGACTGCTCAGCTAGTCACCTGTCTCCTATCTGGCTGGTTCCTACTTATGACCCAGAATTGAGGTGATGCCAACAGCCGAAATAAACGAGAGAAGAATCAAGAACCGAGAAGAGGACGGATAAGCGTCCTCGAGACCCTAGAGGAGTCAGGAGAGCCCAGCAGCCAGGGCTCCACCCACAGGCCCTCTGCCAGGCCCGATGCTCAGGGAGCCAAGTCCACGGTGCTCACTGCCCCCACCACCCAACAAGTGACGCAGAAGTGAGGCCAGGACAGCCCATGGGGAGGGAGGACAGCAGAAGGAGCCCCCGAGGCCAGACGGGGCTTCTCCTGCCCTCTCCCTTTGGTCCGAACCTCCTCTTGCTCCTGGCCCCTGGGACCTCACCACAGAAGCCAGCCCAGCTGCTCTGTGAGAGTCAGCAGACTCTGAACTGAACCCCAATCTGGCCTTTGCCATCTCCCACCTGTGTGATGTGGAGAACCTTACCTGACCTCACCTGTAAAATAAGAATATTGCCTTATATTGTGATGAGGATCAAATATAATGGGTGTCCATGGCCTGGGCCACATAGCAGGTCCTGTAGAGTGTGACTCTGTCCCCTCTACCTGGAACGTGTTAGTTTAGGTGGAAAACCTCTCCCCTCCTCCAGAATATCCCTGCCCCGTGCTGAATTGGGACACCTGCCCAGTGCTCTCATATACAAGCACCTGCTTACCAAGTGTGTCTGGCCTCAGACAGGTGCTCGTCCTATTGTTCTCAATATGCCCTTGCAGACACCCAGGTGTTCAGTTTCCTTCCCACCCACCTCCACCCGAATCAATCAAAACACAGATTTAGCGCTCTGGGTTCCCTCCGTGTGAGCTGGGATTCTTTCTCCCTTAGTGACACAGGAAAAAGAGAAAAGTTAACAACTTCATGCCATGGGATAAAAAGAGAGAGTGAGAGATCTTGTGACTCTTCTTCTGGTAAGGACACCAATCTTATTGGAATAGAGCCGCACACTTATGACCTCATTTCACTGTAATTACTGCCTTAAAGGCCCTTATCTTCTAATACAGTCATTACAACTGGGTCTGGACTTTAACTTTTTTTCTTTTTTTCCCAATTATTTTTATTAGTTGGAGGCTAATTACTTTACAATATGGTAGTGGTTTTTGCCATACATTGACATGAATCAGCCATGGATTTACATGTGTTCCCCTTGGGGCTGGTGGACACAGTCCACCTGTAACCCCAGGTGAATCCATCAGCAGTGCTCCAGATGACTGCTGCCCAGGAAGGTGAACTTTAACCACTTTATGTTGTTGTTCTTCGCCACCCCATGGACTGCAGCACACCAGACTTCCCTGTCTTTCACCATCTCCTGGAGCTTACCCAAACTCATGTCCATTGAGTTGGTGATGCCATCCAACCATCTCATCCTCTGTTGGCCCCTTATGAGAACTTTGTGTCTAAGGCTGGTTTCTCCAGGTAACCCACAAAGTTGTGCCAGAAATCTCACCCAGATCCTTCCCAACTCAGGCTAGTTTCCTCCTGGCAGGCACACCTCCTCCAGCAGGATTCCACTGTTGGGGTTGAGGATGTTCCTCCTCAGGATTCCAGGAGGGATGTTTCCTCCATGTCATTTGCTGACAGGGAATGTCCTCTGATTGAGAAAGATGAAACCTGCAAGGAAGGGGCAGGTTATGTGACGTTGGACAAATTACTGAGCCTTAGTTTCTCTGCCAAGTTACTCTGCCTTAGTTTCCTCATCTCTTCAATTTTATTCTGAGGAAACTGAGATCATGCATGCAAAGTACTTGGCAAAAGTGCTGATTCATGTGGTGGTTTCGCACTGAATAGTTCTCACAAACACACAGGATTATGAGAGATGGTGCAGGGGGACCTCGCAGAAAAGACACTCTCCAAGAAAACCCTGATCCCATATTTATTGACAATTCCTCTCATGATCCTTAACTAACAGCAGCAAGGCAAGGCAGAGACCAGAATTTAGAGTTAACGAAGCCTCCTCCTGGAGGTCCAGAGGTAATCACATTAGAGTCATAAAGAAAGGACTTTGAAGATAAGGGGGTTTGTTCTGTGTGCAGCATCTAACTACTGCTGCCGTGTCAGTCAGAACATCTAACTTAAGGGAGGGGGAAAGAGAAAGCAAAGAAAGAGAATGGGTCATTTTCTGGGATGAATCAACCCTGATGTCAGGCAGGTGGGCCTCCATGGGGGGGTCCAAGTCCATTGCTGCCCTTGCTGCTGGGGGCTAAAGAGAAAAGTCCACCGGCAGCCCAGCTGCATGACTCTCAGGCTGTGGGTCCTGTTCTTCTGTTTCTTAATCTGAAAAATGGAGCTGAAACATCTTAGAGCTGATGTGAGAGTGTGGACAGGAATGGTGGGATGCTGCCTGCACAGAATCTGCACATGCCCAGTTCTTGATACACCTAGGCTCTTTGCTCAGGAACCAAACAGAAATTAAGACTGGTTTTCTGTTGTAGACTTCTTCGAGTTGCCAGGTCACTAGCCTTCCTCTCAAAGTCCTCCACTTGGAGAAAAAAGAAATGTCAAGTAGAAATAAGCCAGGGGAGAAAGGAGCAGTGTGCTCTCAGCCCTTCCCACGAACTTGGCATCCATCCAAATGGCTTTGACCACCAATGCTGGGCCTCCTCAGGTGAGTTTCTGGGACAGGAAAGCACTACTTCTGTCCCTGTCAGCAGGGCCAAGTCCTGAGGGACTTGATCAAAGGGTGGGGGTGAGCATGGCCAGAGTGGCTGAGGGGTGGCTTTAGGCCCCTCTCGCAGGTACCATGGGAGCACAGCAGGGGAGAGTGGACTCTGCAGGGGAAGCCCTGGATGGCTTCTCAGAGGAGGTGATGTGTGGTTTTAGTTCTACAGGGCGAGTATGATATCGCCAGGTTGGTTGCAGCAGGCGTCCCTGGCAGTAGGATCTGCATGAGCAAATCCTAGAAGCCACATGGGCATAGCCCTCAGCAGCAGCAGTATGACCATGTGCTGGTGGAACAAAGGTGAATAAGGCAGGCAGGCTGGCGACTGCGTGGAGGTGGAGAGGACTGAGCGGGTGGGAAGATGGCCATGGAGATGGGGAGTGGTTCGCCAAGGGACTTACAATGTGTGGGTACAGTTCTCCTTCAAGGAGCTGAGACAGGGAAGACTGTGTCAAGAAGGCCATGGAATGTTAGGGCTGGGGTTGTTTCTCTAAGGTGTCAGGAGGAGGTGAGAATAGCCCAGGTTGGGGCCATGGTGGGCAGGGTGTTGTTAACTTGAACAACACAGAGAAGAAGTTTTCACTTTCCCTTTTGGTTCTCTGGGTATATCTGGGCCCCATAATTGTGTGGTCGTTGCAGAGATGCCAGAAGGTGGCTGCAACTGCAGAGCTGAGAACAACTGGATCTTGTTCACACTCGGCCAGAAGAAGACTCCTGGGTAAGAAGGGGAGTAGGAGCCCCGCCCATCTTCCCATCCTCAGGACGACTGTCTGAGAAAAGGGTGCTCCTCACCACAGAAGAAGGGAAATGGAAGCTCAGGGAGGTGAGGTCATGACTCGAGGCACAGGTTAAGCAGCAGCAGAGCCTGGATGTAGAGGCAGGTGTGCGTTTGTTCCTACAAAAGCTTTCCTAAACCAAGATGACATAGAGCATAGATGATGTAGGTCTCAAATCACAGTTTACTGGCAGAGGGTGATCATCTGGAAAGTGTAGGATGGCCATAAATGGAAATGCTCCAAAATGTGATAACACTGTCAGAAAGAACTTTTATCAAGACAGACAAGGAAAACAAATGGAAGCACTCCACTGCAGTAAAAGAAGTGTGGTGCCTGTTTTCACGAAGCTGGTTGCTTCAAGTCCCAGTAAGGGGTCCCATACCTCGTATTCTAGCCAGGCTCTGCCTGGAGGGTGGAGGGAGCCCCCAAGACCCTGGAGCACGAGGAGCAGCAGAGAAGAGACAGGGCACCTGCCCAGTGTTGGGAGCTGCAGGAACTCCACACAAATAGACCCGCAACAAGGAAAGTGCAAGATTCCAGGGGGGCCTGGACAGGAACTAGGGGGAGGCAGCAGGGGGAAGAGGCTTTGGAATGGGAACTCTAGTTACAGGTAACATTTCACCTGGTGAGGCAGGTGGGGAAAGGCATTGCAGGGGAAGGAGCAACCTGAGTGAAGGCCTGGAGGCTGGGGGGGAATCAGAGTCCAGGGAGCTGGGAGTCCTCCAGGCCCCTGGACCAGGCCCTGTGGGGTCAGGAAGGTGAGCACGACAGGAGCAGGAGCATCAGGAGGGCCTGGTGATGGGCTAAGGACTCTGAATCTGACCCTGCCTTTACCCCTCCTGTCCCTGCCCATAGAGTATGAGTTGTACCACGTGGAGGGGGATTTTTGGTAGAATCTCTGTCTGCCCACGGGGAGGGGAGGGCTCTGTGTCTGGCCATGCAGTTGGGCAGGGACAGGCTTCCCCACAGTCCTCCCTTTTCCCAGAAACAGCCTTTCCAGGAAGTGACCTGGAGGCTAACAGAGGAAGACACTTGCAATAGAAATCCAGCAGAAGGGAGCACCATCCAGCATCTACACCGAGCTGAGGCCCAAGACAAAGGTCAGTACCAGGACAAGAATGGGAGGGAAGGACAGAAGGATAAGTCCATGGTCATGATTCATTTACAATTCTTTGGCCTCATCCAGGAGCTGGCCCTTCTGCTGAAGCCCTCCTCTTCTTTCTGGCTTGAATTTTCCTTCTCATGTTTCATGATTTCAATTGGCTGCCCTGCTTCCTGGGGTCCTGCAGCTTTGAGGTAAAGAAGGAGGCAGGGGAGCAGCCAGTTCTCTTCTCCCACCTGCTTAGAGGCAGGCCTCCTGTGTGAATACTCTCCCATCCACAAGGTCAGTGCCTCTAGCCTCTGCTACCAGACACACTCCCTAGTGGACAAGCTGATGGTTACTCTTCCTAGGGACAACCCTGGGCATCACAGAGAGAAGGTGATAGAAAGATAGATCCTAGGATGAGGCTTAGGGGAGGGGATTTGCGGGAGGCTCTAAAGATACAGGGCAACTCTAGGTTGGGTGCTGCCGAGAACAGGGGTCAGTTCTACCAATGTGAGTCTCAGTAACTCCATCTGTGGAGTTGGGGACCAGAGTGAGGATAAAGGTTCAATTGGTAGAGAAGGAGCAGTCATGCTTTTCAAGCAGGGGAGGGGTGTTTCCGTGGTGGGAGCGCAGTGATGCGTGTTTGCTGTCTCCTTCACTCCTGATCTCAGGGTAACCCTGTGTGAGGCTGTAGTTCTGTGAGAGCCTTTACATCCAAGAGGAAAAGAACATCACCCTGTTGTGATACCAGGCCAGCTTTGGGATGTCAGAGGTTCTTTCTTTCTCAATCCTTTATAAACATCCATGTAAATAAACAGAAGGGAATATCCCCACAGACTTCGAGACAGCTCTTCTTATTAAACTTATTTCACAACAAAATATTTCCTGTTATACTTACTCTTCTTTACACCATGAAAAGAAAAGAAAGAGACCAGCTCAGTCCTGTCCAACTCTTTGTAGCCCCATGAACTGTAGCCCACCAGGCTCCTCTCCATGGGATTTCCTAGGCAAGAATACTTGAGTGGGTTGCCATTTCCTTCTCCAGGGGATCTTCCCAGCTCAGGGACTGAACCCACATCTCTTGCATTTTTCATCTCCTGCATTACCACTAGTGCAGTTTTTCAATTCTATGTCTTCATTTTTGATCATACTTTATCTAAAGTCCTCTTATTTGATTATTATTATGAACTCATGGCCTTTCACAGACTCAACAAGGCCCAAGGAAATATATTTATAGTAACCTTACCTTTTATTATTATTATTATTATTATTATATGTGGGTGCCCTTCTGACCACTTCTCTGAACATCTTCAACAGCATCCTTGCCTTTATAGGAACAGAGATGCTGGCCTTTGGATGCCTTCCCTGCAAGTTATCTTGCATCCTTTTATGGACAGAAGCCCATGGGTGCACATGTGTGTGGGCAAGATGCTGCTGGACAATATCTGTTGAAGGTCACAGTTCACTCTCATTACTCTGGTTTACCCCTGTTTTCATGACTACTTTTCTAGAGAACTTGGTTTCATCAACATGAACATGCCTGCTACAGTGATAGTTGTCACAGCAAGAGTCACACCTATTTCTTGTTGACACTTAATTCAACTGCTTCCATCATCCTTAAGGTGGTGGTGCTAGAAACCACCCCATTTGTGTGGGTTACTGACTACTACAAAGTGACTTCTGCTGTCTTATGGCTTCCCTGGTGGCTCAGATGGTAAAGCATCTGCCTGCAATGTGGGAGACCTGGGTTCAATCCCTGGATTGGGAAGATCCCCTGGAGAAGGAAATGGCAACCCACTCCAGTACTCTTGGCTGGAAAACTCCAAGGATGGAGGAACTTGGTAGGTTATAGTCCACGGGATCCCNCATCTGCAGTGATTTTGGAGCCCCCCAAAATAAAGTCTGTCACTGCTTCCATTGCTTGTCCATCTATTTGCCATGAAGTGTTGGGACCAGATGCCATGATCTTAGTTTTCTGAATGTTAGTTTTAAGACAACTTTTTCACTCTCCTCTTTCACTGTCATCAAGAGGCTCTTGAGTTCTTCTTCGCTTTCTGCCATAAGGGTGGTGTCATCTGCATACTTGAGGTTCTTGATATTTCTCCTGGCAATCTTGATTCCAGCTTGTGCTTCATCCAGCCCAGCGTTTCTTATGATGTACTCTGCATATAAGTTAATAAGCAGGGTCACAAATACATCCTTGACGCACTCTTTTTCTGATTTGGAACCAGTCTGTTGTTTCAAGTCCAGTTCTAACTGTTGCCTCCTGACCTACATACAGATTTCTCAGGGGGCAGGTCAGGTGGTCTGGTAATCCCATCTTTTTAGAATTTTTCACAGTTTGTTGTGATCCACACACTCAAAAGCTTTGGCATAGTCAATACAGCAGAAGTAGATGCTTTTCTGGAACTCTCTTGCTTTTTCAATGATCCAGCGGATGTTGGCAATGTGATCTCTGGTTCCTCTGCCTTTTCTAAATCCAGTTATTTCTTTAGATAGTTAACCAATGTCTTTAAACTATATTTGAAGAAGGAAATGGAAACACACTCCAGTATTCTTGCCTAGAATTCCATAGACAGAGGAGCCAGGTGGGCTACAGTCCACGGAGTCACAAAGAGTCAGACCCATTGAGTGATTAACACACACACAAATGATATTACTACATTGGGAGGTGGAATCATGTGAAAACGTGCTCATGAGACAGGAATCTGGACTTGGATTCTGACTCTAGCACTAGCTGTGTGCTTTGAGTAATTTACTTAACCTCTCTAGGCTTCGGTTTCCTTTCTTATAGGATTGTTGTGAAAACTAAAAACAAGTGAATTCATACCAAGCAATTGGAAAGGTGCCTGGTGCATAGTGGGGTGTCATCAACCACAACAGCTAATCAGTATCAGGTATTGCATTTTTCATTTTCTTATTTGAAAATTTGTATATTATTTATTTATTTCTTACTAGGAAAAATAAGGATTTCATTTGTTTTTATTCTTTTCTATACCCCTCCCCATCTTCTGCTTATATCATTGTTTCTCTCATTCTATATCCTCTGTTAGGAAGCTTTGCACTTCTAAACATTTTATTTACATATTTATTTGTTACACTCTTAACTGTAGCTACTATTTCATTACTCTTAGTTTTGTAAACAACTCTTCCCATCAGAGCTTCAGCTCCCAAGTTCTAGAAATGTATTTTAGTTTTTATATTAATTAGCTGAATTGTTAGATATTATATATATATCAACAGTACTTCACTTTTAAAACAGCATCCAAAATAATCAAAATGGGAAAACCAGGACTTGGACATACATTAATTTACATTAGATTTAAAAAAAATAATAAGAGAGTTTACATATCTGTGACATTTTAACGCATTTTTTTTAGAGCTAACTTGTACCAAAAAGCTGCTTGTGCTTCTGGGTAGATCTTTAGTTTTTCCTGATGTTTCTCATTGGCTTCATTTTCACCCTTGCACTATTTCTCTTCAACATTTCCTCCATTTCTTTCCAACTGTGCCTCATATGATACTGAGTCCCCTGTCACCACAGACTCTGGACTTCTTATCCCATCCTGGACTGGTTTCTCTTGGGTCTGATGTGTGCCCAGCTGCAATCCTTGGATTCCCTTCTGGCTGGCTTGATGTTCCTGACTCCTGGATCCCACGTCTATCTCTCCTGTGGGTATCCTTTATCTTCCTCCATAGTTACACAAACACACCACATATTGTTTATCCCTGCACCTCAACTTCAAGTAACCTAAAAGGCTGGCGAAGAGTGAAGGCTGCTGTGAATATGGGATGGGACGTGGGGTTGGTGAGCTTGTCCCCTGCTCTCCCCTAGGCCTCCTCTCATCTTGCCCCCTCTCTGGGGCTCTGCCCAGCAGACCAGTCTTCTCTCCTGTGAACACGCTCCCTGTTTCTCTCCCTCTCCTGCACTCCTCTTTATTCAGTCATCACTTCTCCATCCAGTGAGTCTTCAAATATTTGTTGAACTCTCTGGTCTCCTGTTGACCCCATGATTGTCTTTATTAGCAGCAGAGGGAGAAGAGGGAGGCTATGGTTCTTGAGCCCAGTGAGTGGGGCAGAATCCAGTCTACCAGGGGCAAGACTTCTGACCTTGGCCAAATCATAAACTTCTGTACTTCAGCTTCCTTACCTGTAGATGGGGATACAATGTACACATATCAAATGGAATAACACACAAGTTACCGTGTGTAAAGTTTCAGAGCCAAGAGCAATGCAGAGCACGACCACAAACACAAGGCACTCTTACCCGCAGCTGTCATTATACCTGTGAGCACCTTTACATCCTTTCAGTCAGGTCTCAGGAGGAGGAGTTGACAAAGGCTCTCTTGCCTTCTGAAAACAGTAGCTAAATGCAATCAACATCTGCTTTCCCTCCTCTTCTCCCATGGCAAGATAATCACATGCAGAACCAAAATAAATTTTTATGTATATGAAGACCTGAAGCTTTTTTTTTTTTTTAAGACCACTGAGAATGGGAAAGTCTGAAAGGAAGGACACCCTCATATATTATGAGTGCGAACATAAATTATGGCAGTTTGTTTGCATAACACTGTGGCTCTACTTATGAAAATGTTTTAGGTATTGATGCCTTATAATTTAGTAATTGTACTTATAGAAAAAGCTTAAGTAAACAGTCTCAAATGTGAGTGAAGTTGAATACAAGGAGAATGTTCATATTATTTACATAAGGTATTAGAGACAACCTAAAGTCCAGTGGTCAGGGGAGGACAGCAGAGAGGACGGGGCACCATTTGGGGTCCTCAGCCACGCAAGGCAGGGATACAGGAAGTGCGGTGGGGCTGGCGGGCCTCCAGGCCCTTGTGAGATAAAGGCTCTTGCAGAAGCAAGGAAGACCTGGGCTGTCAGAGTTGCACCACCAGGGACTTTGTCAAGGCAGACTGGAGCCTGGGGGGCAAGACATCATTTTAGAATGAGAAGAGTCATTTGCCAATAAACATATATCCTCAGGTAATTATTTTCATATATTAAAAGGAGTAGAGCATAGTCATCACAAACCTGGGATCTGGATCAGAAAGACTTGGGTTTAAGTCCAGGTTCTGGCACCGGTGTGAAAAACTGGGCTGACCTAAAGTTAGATTAGTTTCAGGAGCCTGCACTTCATAGACACTGGATCAACATCACCTATTACCAGATAGTAACAGAGTTGCTGCAACCTCATGTAATTTCTAGAGTATTCCTTCCTATCTGTTCATCCGTCTCTGGTTTTATTACTCCTATAACTTCACAGATGGCTGTCTCCTCTGTCATTATCTTCTCCTTGTACCCCAACAGGATAACAGGACTACGACTTGGAGGATGTTGGACGGAGATGAGTAACTTTCCTTAACTAGTGACCTACAGAGCCCAGGAAACAGAGAACCACACTGGGTTAAGTCCCCGCTAGCACTGGTGGCCGTCCCAGGGGAACCCACCAGAGACCTCAACCCTCACTGCTCCTTGAAGCCACTGCTCACTCGTGATCGAGCCCACATTCTGTTTTCTCTTCCCCAAGGGTGAGGTCACACCTCCTTCCAGCCTGACAGAAATAAGGAGCTGACGTGAGATCTCTGAGACCCTGCTGCTGCCATCATGAGCTCAGAAAACCTTGGAGACCACTCAGCTAGGCAGCTGCCTCTTTTCTGGCCAGTTCCTACATGTGACCCAGAATTGAGGGTGGTTCCTCCAGGCAGAGTTAACCTACACAGGAATCAAGAACCAAGAAGAGGATGGATGAGCATCCTGGAGCCCCCGAGAGGGGCCACGTGGAGTTCCCCCAATGGGAGTGTGTCCACAGAGCCTCTTTCCCAGCCCTCTCCTTGGGGATCCACTTGCTAGGTACTCTCTTCCTGCCCCACTGCCCTCTAGCAGGTGACTCAGAAGTGAGGCCAGGACAGCTCATGGGGAGGGCGACAGCAGAGAGAGTCCCCAGGGCCAAATGGGGCAGCGAGAGCAGGTCCCCCAGGGTCCCTGGAGCTCCTCCTGCCCTCTCCCTGGCCCAGCCTCCTCCTGCTCCCAGACCCTGGGTCATCACCACAGACACCATTCCTTCAGCTCTCACCCTGCCGCTCACCCAGCCGCTCTGCAAGAGTCAGCGGACAGTGAACTGAACCCCAGTCTACCTGTGCCACCTCCCACCTGGAGGGGAAGGGTGACAGGGTTGTTCACAGGATCACATCTGGCTCCACCCCTCCTCCACCTGGCTGATCCCCTCCCCTGCCCATCCTGAGTGTCTCTGATTAGGATCCTCTCACATAGTAGTCTTACTCAGCGGTGGGTGGTCCTCAACCCTTTTTTAGAATGAGGTCACATTGGTTTACAATGTTCTATAAGTTCATGCGAACAGCACTGGACTTCTTCTGTGTGTGCTGCGGTGTGCCGCTGCAGTCTCTGCTTAGCTGCGCAGTCGTTGTTGACGCTTTGCGACCCCCAGGACTGCAGCCCACCAGGCCCCTCTGTCCATGGGATTTTCTAGGGAAGGATATTGGAGTGGGTTGCCAAGCTCTCCTCCAGCTGCTGCATACTCACCACCAAAATTTAGCTGGAAAAATCCGTAGCTGCAGAATGAAGAAATCACAGGAGTTTAAAATAAGGAGGATTGAAAGTCATGTCCAAGAAGTGTCTGACACTTGACCTTGGGTTCCACCTCTGAGCTTCCTGCTCACTGGCCTTGGCTTGTCCCTTCTCCTGTCTCACTTTCTTCTTCTGTGAAATAAGAAGAATGCCTCTGTATGTTCACGTACCAGGAAACACATCTTACATCATGTCCCAGCCCCCCCATATATATACATATATATCCTAGTGCCTACATCTTACCTTCTATTCCATAACCTCTAGATCCCTGAAATCACACAGGGATTTTGGTAACGCATTTGAGCAGTGCTCTTGCCCTGTACTGATCTGAGGTTAATTATTTCCATCACATTCTTTATCCCATTTAATGTGAATATTCTTTTGTTTCACTGCCAAAACACAAAAGCATTCATTTGCAGGGTGCTGCCAGTCTCTGCTAGAAGTAACTCACAAACACACAGGCCCTGTATTCTCTCTCTTTGTGTGTGTGCATGTGCTCATGTGTTCAGTCGTGTTCAATTCTGTGTGACCTCATGGACTGTAGCCCGCCAGGCTCCTCTGTTCTTGGGATTTTCCAGGCAAGAATACTGGGAGTGGGTTGCCATCTCCTATTCCAGGGGATCTTCCCAACCCAGGGATCGAACCCATGACTCCTGTGTCTCCTGCATTGGCAGGCCAATTCTTTACCACTGTACTGCCTAGAAAGCCCTTGATCTCTATCTAAAAATTATAATTGTAGATTCCTGAAGACATGTAAATCCCAGGATTAGATCATGATTCTGGAGGTTTGGAAGGCCAAGATCATCAAGGTAGTGGTGGTTTCTGGTGAGACCTCTCCACCTGGCTTGCAATTCCTAACTGCCCTCTAACTGTGTCCTCACATGGCCTTTCCTCTGGAGGAGGGGGCAGGAAGAGAGAGAATCTGGTCTCTTCTTTTCTAATAAAGGCGACAATCTTATTGGATTAGGGCCTCACACCTATGACTTCATTTTACCCCAATTGCCTCTTTAAAGGCCAACCTTCAAATACAGTCACTGGGAGTTAAACCTCAGCACATGAATGGGGGTGAGGGCGGGAACAGCAGGTCCATCCAGGACCTGGTGACTCCACCAACAGCGCCCAGGTGGTCACTGCTCAGGAAGGTGAGTTTCAACAATTTATGCCAAAGAGCATTTTCTTTTTAATTTTGTTCTAGAATTTGTTGTAGTTATCATATTATGATAACAAAAGCAGATCATTCTTAAGGCATAAACTTTGTTTATTAATTTAAATGAAAACATATGATCCCTGTCACACATAGATACAACTCTGAAAGGTTACTTCCGTGAGCTGCGAGCAAATATCTGGTATCCTTGGCCTCCAAGGAGAAGACTTCAATCCGGGGCCAGAGACAAGGCTGGATCACTCAGAGCTTTTTTGAAATAGGGTTTAATTGAAGTGTAAATTGGGTACAGAAAGCTTCTAACATAGACTTCAGAAGGAGACAGAAAGAGTGCCCCCTTGCTAGTTTTTAGCAAGGCATTATATACCTGATCAGTTCAGTTCGTCCCTCAGTCGTGTCTGACTCTTTGCAACCCCATGAATCGCAGCAAACCAGGTCTCCCTGTCCATCACAAACTCCCAGAGTTAACTCAAATTCATGCCCATTGAGTCGGTGATGCCATCCAGCCATCTCATCCTCTGTTGTCCCCCTCTCCTTCTGCCCCCAATACCTCCCAGCATCAGGGCCTTTTCCAATGAGTCAACTCTTTGCATGAGGTGGCCAAAGTATTGGAGTTTCCGCTTCAGCATCAGTCTTTCCAATGAACACCCAGGACTGATCTCTTTAGGATGGACAGGTTGGATCTCCTTGCAGTTCAATGGACTCTCAAGAGTCTTCTCGAACACCACAGTTCAAAAGCATCAACTTTTCGGTGTTCAGCTTTCTTCACAGTCCAACTCACACATCCATACATGACCACTGGAAAAACCATAGCCTTGACTAGATGGATCTTTGTTGTCAAAGTAATGTCTCTGCTTTTTAATATGCTACCTAGGTGGGTCATAACTTCCCTTCCAAGGAGTAAGTGTCTTTTAATTTCATGGCTGCAATCACCATCTGCAGTGATTTTGGAGCCCCCAAAAAATAAAGTCTGACACTGTTTCCACTGTTTCCACATCTATTTGCCATGAAGTGATGCATGATTTTAGTTTCCTGAATGTTGAGCTTTAAGCCAACTTTTTCACTCTCCTCTTTTACTTTCATTAGGAGGCTTTTTAGTTC